CCCCCCCCCCGCATCTATTTTTTCATTTTACAGGGCTAAAGGCTAGGACCTTGCACTACGGCCTCAAATGGTCGGGTAGAGATAACTGAGCTCATCTTTGCTTACAAAATTTAGATAACACAAGTTTTCTTTCATGCAAGTATAAAATTTAAAAAAATGGATCTCCTACCATTCATAGTTGCACAATGATGATGTATACCTTCTGGGTTATACCCCAATCATTTGAGCAAGTATAGGGCACAATATAACATTAAAACGTTGAGATCCAAAATGAAGGCATCCATTTTAAAAATTGAATAACCTAGCAACCAGTTGAGAATGGTTTCTTTCTGCTGAAATTTTTGTGTCCTTGCTCTGAAGTTCACTGATGTGGACATTCACTTGAACAATGTCCAGTGGACCTTGAACAGTGATACTACATTGAGAAATTAAAACATATGGTATTATATTAGAAAATTCACTATGTTTTAGTACTCCCTCCGTCCCAAAAAGAATGGGACGGTTTGACTTTTTGGAAAATTAAGGGAGGAATATTTTGGTATTGACTTTCCAAAAATACCCCTGATGTGATGGGTAAAAGTAGGATGTGATGGGTAGATTATTAGGAAAAAGGTATGATGTGATATGTAGGGTATGAAAAAGTAAGGGGTAAAAGTGGTTTTTTAATAGAAATGTAACGGACTTTACGGGACGCAGTTTTTTCTAAACGTAACAAACTTTTTGGGACGGAGGAAGTACTATTTAGTTAAAAATCCCCTTAGCATATAGGGTATTAGATATAGCACTTACAACTATTAGTATCTTCCGTGCAACCGAAAATCCCAGTGGTCCAATCTTCATCAGCAGGAGGTTGGTAGCTTTCAGGCAAGGGTTGCCCACATTCAATGCATCTCCGGCAACTCAGCTGTACGCGATTAAACACACCTCATTAGCTATTTGTCCAGAAGATTTGTATAATTAGCAATTTGTGTTTGTCAATATAAAAATCTGTCAAGATTCGCGGTGTTCAATGAATGATAGATACATTGTCACTTCTGCACTGAATAAGCAAATTGCAAACATGCTAAAACTTATGTTTATAAACAGAATCTCTAACCTTCACAGTATGTATAGATTTAGATTTGTCGAGGGATTAGGGATTACAACAAATAAGAACAATAATCCTTGTAAACACAGTACAAAACAAAGTGCCAAGCAAAAGAATACCCATAAATATGACGAATTGAAATCTGATCAATTTGGGCATAAGATTTCAAGCCTGAATCAAATTTAGAGTAAATAATAAATGTAATTAGGCACAGCGTGCAAACATATTGTCTACGCTATACGTACCTTGTCAACATCAATGGGCTGGTTGAGCTCGCCCGGGATGATGTTATCGACGGCTTCTTGATCCTTGGTGAGCTCCACGTATTTGCCCTCCGCCATTTATGATCATCGATCGATTTGATACTGCTTACTGGAATATATGGATGCTAATAGGGGCATGCAAAATGGGGTACCCGGCCCATTTGTACACTAAATGTGTCTGTGTTCCACGGAAACTAAGCATGTGTTTGCTATATGGTACAACCAGACGCAAGGTACATCCGGTTAGTATTCATTCTGAAGTAGAATAGTACTCATTCTCGCACAAATATAATTAGCGCGGTACTCATTCTAAAATAATGCAATACTCATATTCACACATTGGTTCAATATAATTATAATATTCATCAACAAATAATGTAGTATTCATTTTGAAACAAAACAGTACTCATTCTCAAATGATTTAGTGTTCATTCTCATGTAAAATAAAATCCATACCATAAATAATTTCATGATTGTAACCAAAATTGGGTACAACCGGATGCATAATATAATTTGCCGTGTTTGCCTCGTATACAAATAGGGTACTCCATTTTGGTGTAACTCTAGGTTTATTCATCCTAGTAACATGAAATTGCTTACACGAATCATGGGTATGCAAACAAAATATTTTTTATATAACTTATATATAATGTAATTTTTATTTAGTTATAAATCAAAGCTCGGTGTGAGTTGGCTACAAAAAGTTAAAAGTAAAAAAAAATCTCTAGAACGGAGGGCGAACAAGAAGAAAGTGTTAATGTGAACCCTTTACAAACCATAAGTATATTATAAGTTACTCCCTCTACCCAGAAATATTCTTTTCATTTGAACTTTCTTGGTCAAAGTTTGTAAACTTTGACTATGATATGTGGAAAAAATACATTGTATTACGATATGACTTTAATATGAATATATTCATTTTGAAATATAGTTTTCAAATATAAAATTTTTATAAAATATACTTCCTCCGTCGACAAATAAACTTCTCGTTCATTATTCACAAGGTCAAACTTTATTCACTTTGTTGGCCTATTTTCGTCACCCATTTGATAAAATAATATAGTCATGTCACCTCTAGTTTTGTAGATCTTTTGATAAAGTTTTTTAATATGTAATTTTTATTTTTAAATTTTACACTATTTTTCATATAAAATGATTTGAAAATAACTTCAGTCAAACATCGTAACGCGCAACGGAAAGTTTATTTGTGGACGAGGGAGTATCCATGTATAAAAAAGATATTAGTGGTTAAAGTGCAATTTTGGAAACCGTAAAAAATCAAATGGGAAGAGTATTTCCGAACAGAGGGGGTACTTTTTAAAACATAGGGGATGTTGGAGCTCCTTTTCGAAACCAGAATGGGCAGTATTCACCCATTCTTTATAGGTCTTGAAAGAGTCTATCTTTACATATATGCCTAGTTGCTCTGGTTTTGATCCACCAAGATTCATTTTTTTGAAGAACACAAATCTCAAATGTTGAGGAGTGACATTCATTCATTCATACACACATTTGTACACTCTTGAGAGATAGTAAGAAATACAGTTTTGGGCATATGAAATCTTTCCTGGTCTAAGTCATCTTTTGTGTTCTTACTTTCTGGTGTGTTTGGCTTACTTGGTAGATTCGGTCTTGACATGGTCAAACTTATCCGGTTAAATTTACACCATCAATATATAAAGATATATGATTATGATTGACACTATAAATATATTTTAACTCTTATTTTGAAAAAAAAAATATGGAACTCTTATTTTGGTTTATTTTTAATGTTTACTCCTATTTTATTCTTCCCCCCCCCCCTCTCTTTGTCTCAAAATTATCGTCCTACTTTGACATTTTTGTTATCTTTAAATATTTAATCACAAATTAAATGTAATTTTAAATAAACAATTGTTTGTATCTCCAAAATGAAATATTATGTTTTTATTTTCTAAATAGGATTATTGTATTGTGACATTCAACAATTGGTTTTTATGTTGCCGCTTTTGGCATTACTCTTATTTCAAGATAAAAACATGAAAATCTTATTTTAATTTTCCGTGTTCACCCAAGGTTTTATAAGGAAATGGTCTAGTGGGTTGCCAACTTGCTTAGTCCAGCTGCATTTTAAGGTACTCGTACTATGTTCTATAGGATTTCTTCGTTTCACCTTGTTTTGATTTGGAATTTGAAAGCTGTGGGGTTGTTACCATGTGGTTAAATACATGAGTTTAGATTTCAGGATGAACCAATTTGTTTTGGATAAAGTTTATGATACATATCCATGTCATTTGTCCCCACATATGCCTCATTCCCAATGCCAATTCCCCTCTTCCCACCTAATAATAATTTTCATTCCCCTTTTGGAGAGGTCTCTTCCTTGTGCTGTCTTTTTTCATCTCCAGCCATTTTCGTGCCCTTAAAATCAAACCCAGAAACTCCAGAACCACATCCATATCTCTTAACCTCTTTATCTCCCAACTACCAGTGCTTGTTTTTTTAGTTAAAAAAGACATTTTTTTTCATTCTTTATTGGTTGCCATTTGCTATTGCAAATTGGTTGTTGATACCTTAGGGGAAAATTTGGGATTTTTTTTCTTGGAATTTCTTGTTTGGAACTGCAAGCTTGAAAAGGACAATTTTTTTTTTTGGGGTTTTGGGATGGCATGTTTGTTGAAGAATGGGTTGTCTCTTCCTGGGTCTTGTGAGACCATTATGAGCTCTAGAAATAAAGGGTCTTTTTTGTCTGTTGGGGTTGTCCAAGTTGCAGATTCAAGAACAAATGATTTTCTTGGCAAGACTTTGATTATATCAGATCAGAAAGGATTCAGAGGTCCCAATGCCAAAGCTTCAAGACCCCTCTCTGTTAATGTGTGTACAGATAATTAATCTTCATCTCTTTTTTTTTTTTTGCTTGTCTTTAATTGAGAATTTCTTCTTCTTTATTGTTGCTGATTTTCTGTTTTGATAAATACTTTTTTTTAGGCACAAGCATCATTCTGTGTTAGCAGATCTATGAGATGGTGGGAAAAGACCCTTAAACCTAACATGATAGAGATCCATTCAACACAAGAGCTTGTAGATGGCTTACTAAATGCCGGGGACAGATTGGTCATTATAGACTTCTATTCCCCGGGTTGTGGTGGTTGCAAGGCCTTGCATCCTAAGGTATTGTACATGTAATTACTTAACAACTAAAAAAAGAAAATTAGGGAATGTTTCCTTAATTTCACCATGGTTTTGATTTCTCTCTATTATTCTATTCTTTTTTTTTTTTTGGGTATGAAATGTGTTTATTGACTATAAATTTTACAATGGCAGATATGTCAATTGGCTGAAGCAAACCAGAATGCAATTTTTCTAAAGGTCAACTATGAAGAACACAAGCCCATGTGCCATAGCCTTAATATACATGTCCTCCCATTTTTTAGATTCTATAGAGGAGCAGAGGGAAGGCTTTGCAGCTTCAGTTGTACCAATGCAACTGTAAGCTAACTCATTAACCTTTTAGTCAGTGTTTTAATTTTCCCATTTAAAAAAATAGAGTCAAGATTTACAAGTGTTAAACTAAAATGGGATTATTGTTTTTACTCAGATCAAGAAATTCAAGGATGCATTGGCAAAGTATGGGACAGAGAGAAGTAGTGTGGGAGAAGAAGCAAAGGGTCTTGAGGAGTCTGAAATGTTGGCTTTGTCATCAATAGGAAAAATTTCAAGAAAGTTACCAATGGAGTCCACACTGATTCATAGGGTGGAAGATTTGGTTATGGGTATGGGTATGGGTATGGGCAAAACTCATATTGGTATTCAAGAAACCAGTGAGTTGTTGGTTGCCTGAGATTGTTTCAATATCCCCATTTGGGGGCTTTGTGATTGGGGCTAAAGAGCTCCAAATAATAGAAATTCTTTATTGGATTACAAGCTTTGTGATTATTATTTTGTCCATATATTTATTTGTATACATTATTTGAACATTAGAATACAAAATGACGAGTGTGTTTATAACTTCATATATCTTCTTTCTCTCAAATTTGAAAAAACTACCTAATTAGGACTAAAACATACTCTACTTTATATACTTAAATAAAACCTAAAGTGCTTTGATACTAAAATAAATTCCGTCCAAGATTATTTGTCTCGTTTAAATTTTTTGCAGTTAACTAGGATGAATGTTTGTTTGACCAATAATTATATAAAATTTCATGGAACATTAATTAGATAAAAAAAGTTAAATTTTTAATAAGATAAATTTAATAAAATTACTTTTGTATGAATACTTAATAGATCAATGTCATGGGAATCTTGGTGTACTTAATATCAATTTTATTGATTTTATATTCAAAATTTATCAATTTTGATTGTAAAAAATCAAAACTAAACAAGCACTTACCTAATATACGAATAGATAATTTTTTTTTGTTTGGAACAATATATATGAATAGATAATTTGATTCAAGTATACAATTCAACCAATATAGTCCCTACTCCATACAATGATTGTTTTCATTTTTCATTCTCTCAAGATTTAGAATACTCCGTGGAGCTGACTAGGATACCAAGGTTTCCTACTCAATGTCAGACCCCACAATTCTTAGTTGTGGATTGGGTCCAATTCGAGCAACCGACAAATCATTAAGTCTCCTTCTTACGTCATCTCACGGTTAGGAAAGGTATTATAATCCATGATTGTGTTAGGATAATCCTAATATCTTAAGTTACCAACGACTCCTAATTTTGGATAGATCATAATTATTTGTGTATGTCACTGCAAAGTTTGAATTCAGGAATAATCCCAAAATGTTAGAGTTCCATTAGCTTTACTCTTCATTTCAATGACTCTTAGGCCACTGGGTATACCGCTCACGCCCAACAACGTGAAGGCGGTTTTCACGCCCCGGGGGCGTTAAACACCGCCCCCTGGTGGCGTTACCCAGGCGTGAAGCAGGCCCCGTCATTCCTTTGACGATGATGCTTCCCCTCCCCCTCCTCCCCTAACGGCTCTAATACCCGTTGAAGACAAAAAAAAAAAAATTAATTTTTTTTATTACAAATTTCAAACCCCCCCTTCCCATTCACTCACACCTTCAATCTTCTTCAATCTTTTTCACACATTCTTCAATTTCAAACTCCCCCCTCTCTTTTGAACATGAATCCTTCCGGCTCCGGCTTCTTTCCCGACAATCTCGCGCCAAGCGATGCCGCGATGTGGTATTTCCAAGAGTTGTGCGATCAACCGCCGATCTTCGAGACGCAACAATCGGGGTACGTCGAGCGAGATTCGGTTCAGGAGACTCAACCGGAACTGACCGGCTCGAAAAAAAGTACACGCCGGAAAAGCCACAAAGCAAAAGGCACGATGACCGAGGCGGCACGGTCAATCCAAAAGTGGACGCCGGAGGAGGAGTGCTTATTGGCGTCGGCTTGGGTTGACGTCTCCGAGCATCCTATCATTGGTAAAAATTATATTTTTTCTAATATATTTATGTTTTTTTATATAAAATTATATTTAATCGTGTCATTAAAAAAAATTGTGTTATACTTTTTTAAAGGTTCGGAGCAAACGAAGGATGCGATGTGGGATCGTATCGAGGAGAAGTTCTTCACGGCGATGAACAAGGAAGGCTCCTAGTGTACCCAGGACCAACTCACTTCCAAATGGAGCCACATCAACCGTAAAGTCCGAAAGTTTATCAGAGTTTACGAGGAATGCTCCCGGTCCCGGAGGAGCGAGACGAACGACGCCGATGTTCTCCGGCTTGCCACGACCCGGTATCAAGATGACGGGCACCAAGGCAAGGTGCACATCGATCTTTGGAGGATTTTGAGTCGTTCCCCGAAGTGGCAACAACTCAACAATCCCGACGGCGGATCGTCAAAGAAAAGATCCTCCGTCGACGCCGAGGTTGAGGTCGACGAGACTATCGGTTCGTCTGATCAAATCCCTCCCTTCAACATTGCGGATTCCATGACGAGGACCCCATTCCACGGCTGATCGGAAGAAAGAAGGCAAAATCCATTGCTTCGGGTTCGGGAGGGTCCGGCTCTGATTCCGTTTCTTCTCGCGACGAAATCGGTCAGGCAATGGTTGAACAACTTCGAGTGTTCAATCTTCGAGAAGAAGAGAGGTTGAAGCTAAAAGAGAAGGAGTTGAAGCGAAAGGAGCAAGACGACGAGATCAAAATCATGGAAACCGACCTTTCTACGTTGTCGGGTTTCAAACGGATAATCTACGAGCAAAGACAAAGAGAGATCAAGGCGAAATATAATTTACCTTAGTTTTTTTTATTAATGTATCTTTTTTATTATTGTCGTTTATTTTTTTTTAATGAATATAATTTTTTAAATTTTAAATTATTTTCGTTTCAATTTCTTTAAATTTAATGAATGTATTTTTTAGTATTCGTGTTTCAATATAATTAAATAATAAATTAATTTAAATTTAGAAGATGTATATTTAAAAATGTAAAAAACGAAGGTTTGAAGCCCCAGTTTGAAGCCCCGGGGCTTCAAACCCATTTCCAGTGTTGTGGTGTAAGTTAAAGCTGACGTGGCAGAGAGAAAGTTTGAAGCCCCGGTTTGAAGCCCCGGGGCTTCAAACGTATTTCCACTGCTCTTAGCCATGGTTAAATCGTTGCGTACAACTAAAAATATCTACTTTTTCATACTACAAGTAACAAAAATATTCAAAACTCGTAAAATTTGACACTAAGAGTGTGTTTGATTGGGGTGGGGGAATATTTTCCGAGAAAAGTATTTTTCCAAGGAAAAATATTTTTCAATGAAAATAATTTTCCTCCCACAATTTCTATTGTTTGGTAGGAAGTGAATTATTTTTTCTAAAAAAACATTTTTAGTTGTTAAGATTTCAAATTTAATATTGAAAAAATATATATGTTTTAAAAATAATTATTAACTATTGTAGCAACATAGGAGGCGGGCAGCGTAGGATGGGGGTGTTGGAAGGGCTGGAGGGGGAGAAGGGGTAATGATGGATGTTAAGGGACGAGCATAGAGGAGCTGACCACCTGAAGTTAGTTTAAGCTCTCCCAGGCTGCTAAAAATGCGAAGTGTGCCACGTGACTCACTGAGCAACCTTTCTTACTACCATAATTATCAACAATCACTCCCTAAAATATCTCCACAATCATCTCCGTCACCATACTTCACTCTACCTTCTCCCTCGCCATGATAAAAAAACCATTCTTATGCCACTACACCATACTTATGCTAGATTATTACTCTTCTTCCCCGTCAAAAGTTTGAACCTCGTTTTAAGACACACATCAAATGTGATATGTTAACCAATAACCTCTCTGAGTCATTTGATAAGTACATTCTAGAGGCTAGGGAGATGGGCATTTTGCGTATGTTGGAGATGATTAAGACGAAGCTAATGGAAAGGCTAGCTAAAAAAAAGCAGAGAATCTGAGAGATGATATATGCCCGAAGATTCGAGCTAAATTGAAAGGGAAGATTGAGCATGCACATATGTTCACTCCACATTTCTCTGGAGGGTCTAAAAAAGGAGGTGAAGAGATTGAAACTCTTAAGAAGAAAACAAGAACAAAGCAAAGGATATAAAGCCTTGATGTTTTCATTACATAGTTGTTATGGTTTGTGTAATATTACTTCTGTTCAAAAATCTTCTCCTTTCTTTTTGTTATTGTCCCACAAAATCATTTTTCTTTCAATTAAAAAAAAAACTACCATTATTAATTTTTAACCCACCTATCACATTTTACTCAAACATTATACCATTAATGCATGTACCACTACCAGTTTATTATCCATAAAATAATATCTTCTCTTAGGTAGTGTTTGGGAACTAGTATTTCATTTCAATTCATGCATTTCAATTTCATAATTTGAAATCCTGAATTTCAAATGACAAGGGGAGATGCATGGATTTCAAATTAAGCTTTGTTTTGAATGTAAAGAATTTGATTCAAATCCAAATTCAAAATGCTTAAGTTTCCCAAACATGGAATTTAAGCCAAATCCAGATTTGAAATCCAAATCCATGTTCCCAAACATACCATTAATGATTTTATCCATGAATTGTCCCTCTTTTAAGACTGAAATGTCAACGAAGCTCTCTTCATCGATGAGATCGTCTGCTCAATTTGGCATTTTTTCAAGATCTAAAGATTTCTATTATGTCGAAGTAAGATCACAATGCGACATCATGCTCGAATCCACAAAGTTTTCCTCTCAATTGAATTGCGAGTGAAACATTCTAAACCATTCCACCTAAAACTTTATACTAGACATTATTTACAGGCATAATTTTATTTACTTGGAATACTTTCATATCCAATTTAATAAAATAAATAATGCCACTTCTAATTCTATGACCTTTTCACATTATATATATATATATATATATATATATATATAATTTTTAAATTCAAACTATTTTTTCAAGTAAAATAATTTAAAAATATCTTCAAATAATATTAAGACGTATATAATTAACTTAAGTAGCATACTTTCATATCCAATTTAATAAAATAAATAATGCCACTTCTAATTCTATAACCTTTTCAAATATATATATATATATATATATATTCAAGTAAAATAATTTAAAAATATCTTCAAATAATTTTAAGACCTATATATTAGTTCTTTATATTGAATTAACTTTTATTTAACTATAACTTTTAATTAACTTTCATTTCTTTCCTTTTCAATATATAACCTGTATTAGCTATAATTTCCTTTAAAATGGGATACTGAGTCTTATTGTGTTTAAAGTGGTATGTTACCACAAGATTTTGAATACTACCTCTGTCCCAGAATATTTGTCTTTCATTTTTATACATCATCCAATACACTTCTTTAATCCATTTTATCTTGTAATTTATATATTAAAAAATTATAAAATTAGATATTAATAATCTATATGTTAAAATAAATCAAACAAGATCATACATGACTATACTTAGATGAACAGTTCCAAAAAACAAAAGTAAACAAATACTCTGGGATGAAAGAAATATTAACTTAATAAATCCAAACCAATTAAATCTCAGATCAATTCACAGAATCCCCAGTCAATTCACAGGTATCCCCATTTTTACATTACCCATATTTTCCCACAATGAATGTGCCCTGAAAGATAATTTCAAAACCTAACTGGAGAATAGTTTCCATTCACGGTGACAATTGTGGCTCAAACGCAATTCAAAAAAACTCCTGCCATTAAAAATTCTGTCGAAGACGTTCCAAAGTACACTAAAAATTTAACTTTTTGAATAAAAAAAACTACTCCCTCCATACGGAAATATTCTTCCCATTTCCTTTTTTAGTATACTTTTTAAGACTAAATATCAATAATACCCTTCTATTTTATCACAAATCTACTTTTTTAGTACTTTTTTAATAATAAAATGAGATTTAAAAATTTATAGTATGTGCATTTTTGAAAATTTTGCATTTTTTTAACTATTCCTTAATAAGCGTGCCAAGTCAACACGGGAAGAACATTTCCGAACGGAAGGAGTAAAATATATCATCGGGTAAAGCAAAACTCGAATTAAATGAGCACAAAAAATCATTTTACTAATTTAATCTTGAATGCACAACATAAATCACATAATAATAAAAAGAAACATGATGACCTATCAGTGTAACTATGACAAAAGAAGCATCATTGGATAAATCCGTAGCCATGAATATTCATCATCATCTAGGATCTCATGTTTCCAATACAAAATCTATTCTTAGAAAAAACTGAGAAATATAGTCATGATATTGGTGTTGTCAAGGGATTAAAACCAAAACAAATTTGTTAAACCATTCTTGACCATTTAGATTATAGGCAACAGGGAAAAGAGGAGATCCACACTGAGTACATCGCCTCGGCAAAGTTGCCATTTGAACACAAAAGCAAAATAAAAATACTCTTTATACACTTCTCATTTTCAGGAAAAATATTAAAAAAAGAGAATAAAAAAATTGAAATTGATTGCCTCAGCGGTAGTGACAATTAGTAAGAGTCAACATAATGAATCTGATAATACGTGCGTTATGCAATGCATCATTGACAAACTCTAGGGACAGGCAACAAATTCAACATTTTTCTTTAAATTCTTAAAAAACAAATTCCATAAATAAAAAATACATTTAAAACATATATTCAAAGAAAAAATTCAAGTAATTTCCAAGAAAAAATGCCAACAAAAGATAAACGAAAAAGATTTGTAACTTGACAAGCTTGAAAATAAAAATCTGTTAATCAAATTCATAATCTAAGATCTAAAAAATCTTGAAGAAAAGTAAACAAAATGTACAAAATGAAAACAAGCAGATTCAAGAAAAAATGCATCAGAGAGATTCCCAACGACAAATCATCATTCTCAAAGAGATCTGATGTCCCTGTCTGTGTGTCATCACTTGCATCAAATAAAATTCCAAATAAATTATTAAAAGAGTATCAATCCAGTAAAATATTAACTACATAATTTTTCAAAAATGTATGATTAAATTGATTTTCTGTTTAAGCTCTGCCAATAGCCTCAGATTTAGGTTATTTACATTGAAAATTCAAAGTATATTTAATGCCATCACAGGCAAAAGGGGCAGAACTCAGCAAAACAATATGATAAACACAGATGATTAAAAGTTGAACAACGATCGGAAACCGAAAGAGAAGATCGGCGGACCAGACATAACTGCGGATTTGAGAGAGACTAATGGCGATTTTGGAAAAAAAAAAAAAACTTTTTTGTAATGAATTTGCAGAGAACAAACAATCGAAATTAAAAAGAAAGATAAGAAGAAGTTGAACGTGAACTGGGCTAATGACAGTGTGGGAGTGGACGAACTAGGGTTTATGATGTAAAGTTCAATGGGATGCTGGTGCGATTATATACAAAGACGAGGGGCGGATTCTAGAGGGTTCGAAGCTTGAGAGGCGAGTGCGTTTTCTTTAAACTCCCCTATACTTTGCACTAATGCTAAAATTACCTTAGAATTTTCAACTTTTCTTTTTCAAAGCATGATTTTAGACTACTTCATCCCAAAAGTTAGGGCTCGTTTGATAAACGAAAAAAATACTCCTTCCGTCCATAAATAAACTTCCCGTTGTGCGTTACTATATTTGAATGAAGTTATTTTTCAAATCATTTTATTTAAAAAAATGGTGTAAAGTTTTAAAATAAAATTTACATATTAAAAAACTATATCAAAAGATCTACTAAACTAAAGGTAACATGACTATATTATTTTATCAAATGGGTAAGGAAAATAGGTCAACAAAGTGAATACAGTTTGACTCTATAAATAGTGAACAAGAAGTTTATTTGTGGACGGAGGGAGTATGATTTATGATATTTTTCCGGGCGAGATTAGTCTCATACGTCATCCTATGACATTAGTCCTCATTAGAGTAATTAGTGTTCTGTTTGAAAAATTGATAGTTCCTAATTTCTTACTACGGCCTGACTCGAATCGACCTCCCATCCCCTCTACTTGCACCTCACAAAATTTAGTTGACTTTGTATTTAAATTTTTTGGATGGTGTACTACATATGCTTGGGTCATCCTATGACAATGAAATTCAATATTACTTGTCCTATGTGTATTTTCTAATATGAAACTTTCATGTAGGTGACTAGGTGTTTGGTAAATTTAAATATAGTTCAGATTTGACATCTCTAGATATTAGTCTCTTCATCTTTTTTTAATCTTTCAATTGACGTTTTATGATATTCATTTAACATTTCGTTTTAAGAAATTTGTAATTTTTTTTATAATACTCTGGAGTTAAATAATTTACGCCACTGCGCCCAAAAATTACTCAATCTTCCGACTAAGCTAAATATGTGACATTTTAAATGGTGATTAGATAATTATTAAGTATGAGTTGGTACCTTGAATGCGTTATAATTAATAAAAATTGTTGAGTATAAGACTAAAACATATTAGTTTTCCCTATATAGGACTAATAATGTTTTTTTCCCCTTCTAAGACTATTTTTTAAAAAAATCCCTTTCCTACCCCTAATTTATACATCCACGTGTGTGGATAAAACCAACGCCTCTTTACTGTTTTTTATTTATAAATACTTTACTTACTTAATTATGGGTTAATCAGCCATTATTAACGCCTATAGTTTAGGAAATAAATTTATTACTCTACATCCCTATTTATGGCCACTCATCATAGATTTAATGCTACCATTTTTCTCCTCCATTTTCTACATTTCTTTGTTCTTTTTTTTGAGAACACATTTCTTTGTTCTTACTTCTCAACATATTCAAACTTGTATGATTCTTAGATTCATATTTACTTTATGAACCTTAAAATATAAAATAATTACATATATTGATGATTGTAAAAAATCCAAAATGAATTCATAAAAATATATAAAAATGTCCATATTTCATATTTGGACATTAAGACCACAATAACAAGACTCTTTCTTCATTCTTACAATCAGTTTATAATAAATATATATATTCACTTTCTTTACTAATTCTTATTACACATTTGTAAAACAATATAATAATGTCACTTCTTGTTTGTAAAACATATTTTGCCTCATTTTTGTAGAATGTTTGATATTATTTTTAAGTATATAATTTTATTTTTAAAATCTACACCAAATTTTTTAAAAAATTGAAATGAAAATAATTTTAGTCAAACACTGTAATATGTAACGAGAAGATAATCTCTAGACAACGAGAGTGTATTTTTTTCATCGTAATTTTAAAATCCTAATCGTAATTTAAAATAATAATGAAGTAAAAAAAGAATAGAACTAAAACATAATGACTAAAACATAATGACTTTCTCAATTTAGGACCATATGTTTTTATTTCCAATGTAGGATTATTGGTCATTATCTATTAGTCATTATTCAATTAAATATCCAGCATCACTTGGACATTATTTTTCTCATTAGTCATTATTAAGTCCTATTTAGGAAATAGAAAAGTGTAAGTCCTACATTGGGAAAATCAAGTGATGCTGGACATGAATAAAAGTTGATTTTACGTGTAGGTCTTCAATTCATGAATGGGTTTTGGGTAATTTACATAAATAGGACAAAAACATAATGACTTTCTCAATATAGGAACATATTTTTTTACTAATGTAAGATCATTGGTCATTATCTATTAGTTATTATTCAACTAACTGTCCAGCATTACTTGGACATTATTTTTTTCTAGTCATTATTAAGTTCTATTTAGAAAATAAAAAAATTTAAGTCTTACATTAAAAAATGATTTATATTTTAGTCATATTTAGTGCAAATTTCACTTATGGGTATAAGGACATTATTTTTTAATCCAAGTATAAGGACATTATTGATTACATATGGATGCCAATAACGAAGAAAACATGCATAGTGTCAAAAAAACGGATAGGGAGGAAGAACTGGTTGAGTACGGTGTGTTTAGATTGGCAATGGAGTGGATGAGTGGTAGTTAATAGGGTAGAATATGTAGAAATTTTAGCCTAAGAAATAGGAGAATTAAATGTTTGATATTATCTTTAAAAATGTAAAGAAAATTAAAAATAAAAAATGGAAGGAAAGCATGAGATCATGCGCATGATATTAGAAGGACAAAGATAAGATTAGGAGGTTATTTAAGTAATTTTAAACTCCCAACATGTGGTCACATAAGACCACTCCTATTTAGGAAAAACCACCTTCTTTTACTCCTATTGTTGTAAATTTCTCTTATAATTACCCTCCTCCATGTTGATTTGAAAAAAAGTTTTAAAATTGAAAATTAAAGTGTTTATATTTTAATATGATAAATTATAAATAGTGTTTTAGATTAAAAATATTATAGAATTTTAAAGTTCATATAATCCAGAATTTATATTATAAAGAGCTTGAAAATTCTTTATTTTGTCTAAACATTATTATTTTATTTTATATACTTCGTAATTACCAACATTACTTAATAATTTACAGTTATCATTTATGTCATGTATTCTGCTTAGTTGGCAGCCTAGAGTATTTGTATAAAATTAAACAATTTTTGAGAGCAGCGGTGCAAATTATTCAATTTCGGAGTATTAACGTAAAATCACAAATTTCTTGGAATATTCGTGTAAACTTTTCCTTTTTAAAAAGGGCATATTTCAAAATTAAATTTTAAAATAAACTTATTGATATTATATTTATGTTACACTTCAATTCAATGTATTTTTTTTCATAATTTGTAGTTAAAAGTTGAAAAAAATCGCCTTAAAAGTCAAACTTGAAGATTCAAAAAGGATGAAGAAAGTATTAATTATCCCTTGAAATTTGTGTGTTTGATATCTCTCAATGCTGGGAAACTAATACTCCGTATCAATTTAAGATTTAGACTTGCATCTAAATCGCCAATCATCGTCGCTAGAATCCCACCCCCCGGCCACCCACCATCATTAGCCATTCGTCCTCAGTGGCCGCACATCGTTGTTTGTCATGCACCAGATGTCTCATGTCATCTCTCGTCATTGATCACCGACGACCACTTGTCGCTACTGGGCCACCCCTACCAATGGCTAGCTACTAACGCTTGTGATCCGTTAATGGCCACCGCCCATGATGGCCATTCATCGCTTGTCACCAGCCATTGTTATCCGCCTACCTTCGTCGGCCACCCACCGTTGTTTTTCATCCTTCGTTTGTGTCTAAGAATATTTTATTTCAAGTCTCTCAAAACACTTGCATTTCAAATGTCAAAACAATAGAATTATTCTTTCATATTTTAAAACTCCATCATATCATATCAATCTTCCAAAGTTTAACAAATGAACCCTTAGAACTATTACAAAACAATAAGAAAATTTTGGAAATAGCCACCCAAAGTGCATGGCTTTAAAAGTAACACTCTCATCAGAACTTTCTTTCTAGTCACTTTAGGTCTCTCAATGAGTTAGATTATGTCCCGTTTCTCACCCTCACTCATCAAATATTTCGTGAGTATACGGTAGACTTAGAGCATGGGCAACGGTGTGTAGCCACCATGCCTTGCTGATGCCTCGCAACCACATCACCATGGAGAACATTGTTGCCATGCGTGGATAGAGCATGACACCCTTTTGTGCGAGTCACGAGCATGGCAATCTTGCATCCATTTTATTTTTTTTATTTTTTTTCTTTTCTTTTTTAAAGGAAAAAATCTGCTATTTTTTGAGTAAGTAGCATAGTAAAATTTTTATGATAAATTAAATAAGTATAATAATTTTTAATAATTAAAATATGTCAAGAAATGAATTACAATAATAAAAAATGACTTGCCATTGTAAGGTTTGACACTCCACTCATTTACCACACACTGACTAGACTGTTTTTCATTAGTTGAAATATCTCACATCAGCGTGTGGTACTCTATTCATTATTTGTCATTGTTCATGCTCTTAAGTCTACTTACCTGATTTCGATCCTGATTCGTTTTAATGCTTTCTTAAAATGGATCTAAATTTGAAACTCCATTTTTTGGACCCCAACTAGATTCGATCCTATATAAACAATAATGATTTTAAAGTTTTAATGAGAAATAAATACCACCTTTTGCATTCCAACATAAGTTGCATGTTTACAATCCATTTTGTCAAATTTTAATCACTATCATTACCAACTTTCAATACTCATTTGATAAGATAGTATAGTTATTTCAACTCTTGTTTTATGCCCGAGTAAAACTTCGGATGTAGTTTTAAATATATAAATTTTATTTTTTCAAATCCACACCAATTTTCTTATAAAATAAAATGAAACTAATTTTAGTCAAATATCACAAACCAAAACAAACAATATAAATTGTATTGAAGGGAGTAATATGTTTACGACTCAAATGGTTTAATTGGAATATTTATAATAACACTAAAATACTTTGTAAGTTAGTAGTATTTGTGTTACTAGAATAATATTTATGTGTAAAATATAACTTTTTTTCTTTAAAAAAAAATTGTGTTAGAGTCATTATTGTTAATTTAAATATAAATTAAATTTATATGATTGGAAAACAAGGTTGGAGGCTGATGGTCAACCCGGATTCCTTGGTGGCGAGAGTCTTTAAGGCGAGGTACTACTCAAAAAGGGACTTTCTGAATGCGGGGCTTGGCTCATCACCGAGTTTTGTGTGGCGGAGCATTTTAGAAGCTCGAAACCTTATCATTAATGGCATAGGTCGACGAATTGGGGATGGACGAGATACTCTAATTTGGGGTACTCCTTGGATTTGGGACAAGGACAACCCGTTCATTACGTCTCCAAAACCCCCCTTTTGTCCAAACTTTAAAGTTTCTTATCTAATTGATCCGGAAACTAACGCATGGAAAATGGATGTGGTGCGGGAATGGTTCTCAGCCAAAGATACAATCCGAATTCAACGCACTCCATTGTCTCTCTCTCGCAAAGACTGTTGGTATTGGATGGCGGAAACACATGGAAATTATACGGTGAAAAGTGCTTACAGGAGGCAATGCAGGGAAGCAGCACAGTCAGAGAATTTCGGCCAGTGGAATCGACTTTAGGGACTGCCCATCATACCCAAGGTAAAAAATTGTGTGTGGAGGCGCTTAAGGGGTGTCTTACCTACGGCGGTAGCTCTTAAAGCCAAGGGGGTTGCTATTGAGCCTAACTGTCGCATCTGTGGGGCACCGGAAGAATCAGTGGAGCATGTTTTCCTTTTGTCCTTTTGCTCAGGCTACTTGGAGACTCCTAAACAGAGAGATTGCCACAGGTATGCACGAGAACTTTAATAATTATTTGGCGGCTGTTTTTGGATCGACTTCGGCTGTCGATGGGGCAGTGATGGCTGCGGGTATTTGGGCCATCTGGAAAGCCCGAAATCAGGCCTGCTGGGAACTCAACGTGGTCAGACCGGAGGTTGCTGCTAATTGGGCACGAGAAGTATGCGTGGCTAGGACAAGTCGTGATATACATGGTGGCACGATGCCGACGTCGGAGGGGTCGGGGCTTCAGCACTTAGATCGGCCGGATCTCCTGCATTGCTTTGTTGATGCTGCCATGTTTGAACAGGTTGGTTCTGCATCGGTGGCGGCAGCCCTTCTTGATGGGTATGGCAAGTTCATCGGGGGTTTCAACAAGCTTGTCACCTGTCCCTTGGTACCGAGGTACGTAGAAACCTTAGCTATTAAGGAAGCTTTATCTTGGCTCAAGGAGAGGAATATCCATGAGGTTGGTATTTTCTCTGACTATGTTCAAGTGGTCCATGCTCTAAAGAACGACGTGGTAGATGCTCGATCATATTTGAACGCGGTGGAGGATGATTGCAAAAAACTCACTTATTTCTTTAACTATGTTAATTTTTTTCACATTCATAGACAGTCGAATTTGATTGCGCACACCCTTGCTAGATTGGCTGTTAATGGGTGCTATGAATGGCATTCTATTCCCCCTAATGATGTATTGCATTTACTTTGATGAATGAAAGTGTTTGAGTTTCAAAAAAAAAATATAAATTAAATTTATATTTGCTAACTTGAACAGTCTCTGTTACGGGGGAGGATTCCAATGACATTGGATCCTCATTTCATAGGATGAATCGGGGCTACTACAATACCTCATTCGTAAAATTGATGGTTCCTACTCCCCAGTAAACCACACACCCCTTCTATTATACATTTATACCCCAAGTTAATTTTGATTTTAGAGTTACGAAAGGAACATCGTAGCAATTTCGGGTCATCCCATGATATGGGATTCTAATATAGTAAAAACCCCTCCGGTATTTATGTGAGATGTAAATGTAATCCAAATATGAGTTGAGATCTAAATATGAAATAACAAATGAGCGTACGCCTAGACCTAGATTCGAGCTCAACTCAACCAAGACTTGAACACTCCCGACTCTAAGTAACACACATTTTAAATCCACCATTTTTAAAACTTCAAAAAATCCAAATTGAAGTACTTTGTGACAGAAGAAGTATACATTTTATACTTTTGGTACTTTCATTTGATTTAAAATTTTTTAAAGAACAAGGTTGTTTGACATTGTTTAATATATGTAGCACAAAAAGACAAGGTTGTTTAAACGATTAAATTGCAAGAACGATGCTGCTTGAAATCACAGGCACATTAAGACATTATTATCACAAGTAGTCAAATGCAGAAATGCACAATTAAGACGAACACACGGGAAACCAGTGCCAAGTGAAAAAAAGAAAGGCGTTTTCTAAATCTCCACACCCGCGTTTGTCAAGTTTCTCCACCATTATGACTTTTCTTCTGCAGCAGCCAACGATTCGGCCATCATTTTTTCTCTATTCTGCAATTGTCTTTCAACGCTAACCATATACATGCCTACACAAACAAGAAATTGATCGGTGTCAACACAAAGGGTCTTCAGAAAAGAATGGCGTATTCCAAACAGACACATTTTCTTCCAGTAACTAGTTCACAAATCTAGTATAGGGCAATATAATTTAAATATGATCCCAAAAGGGGGAAAAACAGATTAAGCATGTTTGGGCTGGCAGAATGTCCCGCCAAGCTCTTGTATTTAGGGGATTCTTGGCAATATATAATCAATAATAATAACACGAACAACTATAATAACAAGAGTAAAATCCACAAATGGCCTCCTAGATATTGAGCCAGATTCACCCCAAGGCGAAGCTATAGATAATTGCATCAAGGCAAAGCTAAAAAATTTGCATAGGTGCTCCCTCTTCTCCTGTCACAAAGAATCTTATGCTGCACTTGATTGAGACATAGGCCTTGATGCATATACGTCCTCATTTACAGTATTTAAAAAAAATCAAAGACGGACCATTTTACAAGCAAAAATTGGCGTTTTAAACGTAGTTAAGCTCAATAAAAGTCCCTTATTCTTAGATCTTATATACTCCCTCCATCCAAAATTAATTTGCTTACTTTGACTTCACGCAGATTAAAAAGGCGTTAGCATGCTATAAGACGTTTATTAATGAAAAATGAGTTGTTAGAATTTGTTTAAAAGAGAGAAATGTCTTGGACCACATATTCTCTTTTAAAAAAGCTTTTAATAAAACAAAACGAAGAAATGAGAAAATTCATTTAAACTGATGAAAGGAAGGTGGGAAAACTTTGGAGTACTTTATTTTTGCTGAGAGTGAAGTAAAGTATGATGTAAACGGAATCTGCTAAATATTTAAAAAAACAGGGAGAAGGAATATTAATGTGAATGGATTTCACATTGTAAGAAAATGAAGGCTTTTCTTTTAAAAACATTTCATAGGTGGCAGAATGAAAAGGAAAGAGGAATCAAGATTTTCAAGACTCAAGACTTTCAAGATTTCATATTCAACAACTTTTATGTTTCCTAAAGTTCATTTCCTTGTGATTTTTTGCCTATTTCATTTTTTTTTTGAACCAAAAACACTCAATTCATTACTAACTCCAAAGTTTTGTACACACTCATCAGACTTCTAACCACAATCATCTACCTTACTTTTTTATACATAAAATAAAAATTTATATAGCTAATAACATAGTCTCTAGCCTCCTCTGCCGTACACCTGTTTTGGTGAGCTATTTTGTTTCTAGCTCCAAATACTGTAAAGACAGGCTGCCCATATAGCTGCAATCTTCATCTTTGTGGTATTTCCCTTTCCTTTCATCATTGTATCTTCCATCTCCTCTACGCTATTAGCTTGGAACAAGATGTTATATCTATCAAACACTTGCTGCATCACCCACTTTGCATATTTACAGTCCCAGAATAGGTGCTTGGCCGTTTCATTCTCCTCTTCACACAATCCACATCTCATATCCACAGGTAGGAATCTCCCCAATCGATCTTTAGTCTGCAGTTTTCCACGCATGTACAGCCATATAACTACCTGAAATTTGGGTGGTGTGAATTTATTCCACACCCATTTTGTCCATAGTGGTTTAGCTCCTTCAGCCTGGAGCCAGTTATACCCCTCCTTCACTTTGTAGTCTTTGCTTGTTGGCATTGGTCTAAAAACCTCTCTAACTTTGATCATAGCTTTCCAATATTGGCATGAATCCTTTCTAGGTAGATAATTCCAGAATTCAGCCCCTCTAATGTACCTATTATGGATCCATTTTACCCATAGTACATCCTTTTTATTTGCAATGTCCCAATTCAGCTTCATGACTATGGCCCTGTTCCAGTTGAATATGTTTTTCAGTCCCAGCCCTCCATAATTTCTTCTCTGACATACCTCTTCCCATTTCACCAAAGGAGTTCTTTTATAGTCACTGGAGCTGCCCAAGAGAAAATTCCTGCAAATTGATGTCACCTTCTTTATCACTCCTTTTGGGATAATGAAGATCCTTGACCAGAAAGTAATGATCCCCATCAACACTGAGTTTATAATTCTGATTCTAGCTGCATATGAGAAATGCCTTGAACCCCAAGCTCCTATTTTTGTTGTGATTTTGTGTACCAAGGCTTCACAATCACTAGCTGATAGCCTGGCCGCCGTAATAGGACTGCCCAGATATGTGAATGGCAGTGTTCCCATTTTCATTTTAGTAATCTTCAGCAATTCTTCCTTCATTTGCTCATTAATACCCCCAAAGACTATGTGTGATTTATTATAGTTAATACTCAAACCAGTAGCTAGTTTAAACTCTTCGAGGACCTTCATAATACAATTCACAGCCTTGGTCTCAGCCTTACACACTACAATTAGATCATCTGCAAAGCATAAATTCACTATCTTCACGCTAGCACACATGGGGTGGAACCCAAACCTACCCTTATTAACTGCAGCTTGGAAGGATCTAGTAAGATATTCCATAACTAGCACAAACAGTAATGGAGACATAGGGTCCCCTTGTCTTAATCCCCTAGCTCCTTTAAAGTATGCGTAGTGGCTTCCATTTACGTTTAGTGTATAGCTTGGGGTGGAAACACAAAACATAACCCAACTGATGAATTGTTCTGGGAACTTAAGATTGTACAATATGCTTCTTATTGCTTCCCAACTGACTGAGTCGTAGGCTTTTTGGATGTCAAGCTTCATCATACACCTTGGGGAAATTCCTTTCCTCTTATAACCTTTAGCTATCTCCTGGCAAATTAACACATTGTGGACCAGTTCTCTGCCTTTAACAAAAGCTCCTTGGTTCAAATCTATAATGTGGGGCAGAACCTCCTTCAGCCTCTGGGATATTAACTTTGAGATGACCTTGTATATGGTATTACAGCATGCTATAGGTCTATACTCATGAGGATTTATTGCCTCAGGGATCTTTGGAATCAGTGTTAAGCTTGTAGCGTTTATTTGCTGTAGGGTTTTCCCTTCTTTGAAGAAGTCCAGAACAGCATTTGTAACCAGCTCCCCAACCACTTTCCATTGGCTTTTGAAGAACCCACTATTGTAACCATCTGGGCCTGGACTTTTATCATTTGGGATTGAGAACATTGCTTCCTTTACCTGCTGGTTATTAAATCCTTTGATCAGCCCCATTTGTAGTTCAGCCCCCAACACTTTTCCTTCCTGTAGTATCTTAGGGTTAACCATTTCAGTTGTCCCTTTAGTTCCCAGCAATTTCGTATAGTATTTCTCAAACACCTTTGCTATATCTGCAGAACCTTCAACTGTCTCCCCATCTTCTGTCTTTATTTCCAGTATTTGATTCTGAACTCTTCTTTTCCTAATCCATGCATAAAACATTTTAGAGTTTTTATCCCCTTCAATAATCCATTCTTGCTTACTTTGTTGGCATTTCAGTTGGTAAGAAGCTTTAATGGCCTTGTACAGTTTGTCTTTCAGCTCCTTTTCCTTATCTTCCATCCCTACTTGATTATCCCCCTTTTGGATTTTCTTCTGAAACTCCCAAAGTTCATCCCTGGCTGCATCCACCTGTTCATGTATCATTTTAAATCTGGAATGGAGTTTCCTGAATGGCTCTTTTAGTGCTCTTAAGTTCTTAACCAGCTGATACATATTTCTTTGTGAGTGATCTGTTTTCCAGTTTTGGGTAAGAATGGCGTGAAACATCCTATTTCATTTTTGGTATAGAGATTACGAAAGTTTATTTTTCTTAAATCTTGACTTCAGTAGAAGCCATAATCTTAGTAGTATTATTTAATTCCTTTTCCCCTTGTTGATCCTCATAGCATGCTTAGAGAGTTAGAGAGTACATTCATAAGCATTTTGAAGTTGCACACCTTTGCCACATTAACTTTCTCAAGATCATTCCCATTTTTATTATTTGGCACATACGGAAATCCCGTAACAAATTGCTTTTTTCAAAATCATGCTTGCACAACCATTCCATCATTAATTGCATGACACATTCCATCAAAATGTTTGTTGATCCTCATGGAGTGTTGCTGCAGTGGCCGGGCGACAGAGTGCCTACAAGAAAAATGTTTCGGTATCTTGGCCAAGTCATTCAGGTAGATGGAGAGATGAGGATTTTGTTCATCGTATTGGATCTGTTTGGGCAAAATAGAACTTGACTCCGATGCCCTAAGTGGCAAGAAGATTTTGCATTGCTTGAAAGAGAAGTTCAATCGGTCAGTGGTCAGCAGTGATGAAAACCCACGTTCATCAACTTCATGTGGCAGAGATGGGGATGCTGCAATGGATGTGTGGGAGACAAGGTTGAATAAGATTCGGAATGAGATAGTTAGAAGAAGGGTGGGAGTGGCACATGTGGAGGATAGGCTGCGGGATGCTCGAATGAGGTAGATTGGGCACGTGAAAGAAAGTGCAGAAGTCAAGACCGAAGATGCGAGAGACTTACGGTATTAAACGAGAGTTGGGGTAGGGATAAACTTAGGAAGAGTTGGATAGAAGTGATAAGATAGGACTTAAGAATGCTGGACTTTACCGAAGTTTGAAGATATATGACTAGAGTAGTTGGGTAGAGCTCTAGGCCTTAGTGGTAGTTTTTGCTCGTCTTTGTGTGTTGTCTGTGTTTGGACTCCAGTGCCGGTTTGTGTGCTTCTTGTCTAAGTGTGCTTTCTTTGCCCGTAGTTTACTCTTTACCCTTTGCGATTACTTTGTTCTCAATTTGATTGTGCTCTTAACTCTACTTGGTTTATTTGTGCTCGAACGGGGGATCTCCCAGAAACAACCTCTCTACTTTCGAGTAGGAGTAAGGTCTACGAAGACACCCTTGCCTCAAACAACCTCTTTACGGTTATCATCCACAGATGGTACCTCACACCCCCAATCCTTATAATATTACTTAATCATAATAAGGAGCTATATAAGCCTTGTAATATTACTTAATCATAATAAGGATAGGATAAACTTCTCCAATCACATTATTATTCCTATTATTCAGCCAAGGAGCTATATAAGCCTTGGACCTTTATTCTTTGTAGTTGAAGTTATAAAATTTTTAATTGAAAACCTTAGAGATCTTTATCAATCTTTGGTGGTTAATTCATTAAGAAGATTGTGGTGCTACTCTAGGATTCACTTTTAACATTCTTGGTGGATTATCCTTTCGAGAACTTGACATGATCTGTTTTGTTCTTAATGCTTAGGATGTGCATAACACCTAGACTTCAAGATCCCAACTTTTATTGTTCTTGTGCTTCCATATTTGCATCCGAATCACAAATTAGTGACTAGAAGAAAAACAACCTTGTGGAGTTGGGATAGAAAAAATTATAAAACAATTACTTAGGAAACTAAAAAATGCTTTAGGATGCCAGAATCAAAAAGTAGTATGCCCACTAAGTCACCACCACCAGTGAGTATACTAGGAAAGTAGGAAACCAATGGTTTTGATTTTATAGAAACAAAAATTAATTTCTTAAACCTTACAAAATCCAAGATTCCAAATACATAGTAATATCAGTTATGGACAGAGATAGATTATGAAAAATCTAGTCAACATTCGGTGAAAGGTAATCAGAAAATGAATCAAAAGCTATTGTAGTGTTCCTCTGAGAGAGTTGAAGGATAAGGACACTAAAATATACGCCATAAAAATAATAATGACTTCTAAAGGAAGCTTAGCTTTGATACCATGTAACTCAATAGGACAGATTTATATCTTTTGCATTTAATTTGAACATAATGAGCAAGACATATATTGCACCAGAATAAAGTTTACACCTTGACTTTATGGAGTTCAAGAAAAGTGAAAGGTGTTTGGTGAAAAGTGAAAGGTGTTTCCTTAAAATTCATTTAGGGTCCGTTTGGTACACGGAATTGATGGAATTGGAATTGAATTGGAATTAAAATTCCATGAGATTCAATTCCATAGAATTGAATTCACCAATTCCAATTCATTTTTTATACTATCAATTCCAAATCCACATAATTTTTGTGCTACCAAACACGAGAATTGGAATTGAAGTCCTCAATTCCAATTCCATAATTTGAATTCCATGTACCAAACGGGGCCTTAGACGAAATAGAAATTATAAACGCCATATAGTCATTTCCTAAAGGGAAAGTGGAAAAGTCCCAAAATGAAGTTTATACTTTGACTTCATAAAGTGTTAAAAAAGTGAATGTTAAAAGGTGTGTGATTAAAATTTATTTGGAAGAAAGAGAAGTTATAAGAGCCACACTTTCATTCCCTAAAAGGGAAAGATGAATAGGGTAAACTTCATTTTGGAACATCCAAAAAAGGAATGTGTTCTTTTGTTTTGGGACAAGGGAGTACCTAATTAAAGGATGATTAGCTAAGCAATGATGTTATAATGATGAAATGATTCTAGATATGTTAGGGTGAACCGGGGGTCTTATCAAGTTGCTAATTTTGTGATGAATTTGTGGAGGAAATGAATGCGGAAGTATATGGGGCGAAATATGGGAGGTGTTTTTGGAGTTCTTTTTTGTGTTTTTTGGAAGAAAAGAAGAGGTTTAGGAGAGAATATGGGGAGGTACGAAATTTAAGAATAAAAATAAGGAAGGGATAAACCAAGTTGGTGTTAAGAGATATGACACACCCTTATCTTAACTTGGGGTTGAGTCTAGAATTTAATTAAGATATGACACACTCAATTAAATAACTAGAACCTAAAACTCACACTTAAGATAACCACTCTTAAGATATAGAATTAGGAATTTGGCTAAAATAGCATCACACTATTTTAATAATACTCAAAGAGTAAAATGTTTTAATATTCAAAAGGTGTGTTTACAATGGCCATAGGGCCTGATTATATAGGCAGTGGGAAGGGGGAAGAAATACACAATACATTGAATGTAGACATAAGGAAACTTCCTAGCAACATCCTCTCTCAAAGCCCTGAAATATCAGCCATGTTTTGAGGTCCTTTTATTGGAATAAAATCAGGGATGGGTGTGGTTGTAGGGCCTCCAATGAAAAGCAAACCAGGGGGAATGAATGGCCTTCTTTTGGG